ATATATATATATATATATTCCTACTATAAAATTACATTATAAAATATAAATAAAAGAAAAAAGATATATCAAATTTTATAATATTTTGTATATTTATTTAGTAGGAATAATAATAATAATAATTATTATTATTATTATTAATTTAATACTATACTACTACTATTACTAAATAAAAATAAGAAATATTACTACTGTAATATTTTTATTTAAAATAAAAAAAATCAAGTATTTAAGAAAAATACAATAATAATAATTTTATATTACAAAACAACTGTAAAATTACAATATTCTTCATTTTCTATACATGCACTTGTTCAATATATGCCCATTTATTTTTATTTATATAATTAAATTGCATTCTCGCCGTCTTAAATTTGCGACTTGATAATCATGCTAAGCAATATCAGTTTTATTTCAATTAATTGTGCAGCCCTAACATCTGGCATTACTCTGCACAGTGTTAAACGTTGTGTTAACCGTACAAAGACCCGACTGTTCTGACTGAATTTCATTACGGGTTCAGGAAGGATTGTAGAGCATTTGGGATGTTTCTGGCCATGTCCATCACAAAAGGATTTAGCAAAATCCAGTGGCAACATGCTACACTTTAGAAGTAAGTGCAAAAGAAGGCAAGCAAAAAGAAAAAAAGATTCTTTGTATTATGAAAGAATATTCCATGTGTGAGGAAGGATGATATGTGGAAGAGACAGGAAAAAAAAGAACCTCAAGAACAAAGCCATCTTTGTTGATGTGAAGAGACCAAACAGAACCAGAACGCTGGATTCCACTGGTCGAAACTGTTGGCCAATGGAAAAATACCGCTACGGAAACTAGACCGCTAGCATATACATGTGGATAAAAAGCCACCTCTTCCATGCTAGTATGTGTTTTGTCCTAAACAGACAAAAATGTGGGGACGGATGCAGTTGAGCTAAAAAAATAAATAAGGAAAAAACTATATAAAAGTAGCCTAAATTACTCTAAACGAAAAAGTACATGAGGTTAAGTAAATGATGACATAAGTTTCATTTTGAGGAAGGGCTCATAATCAATTTTTACATTTTATCAGCATCCTCCACAACACTATAATTTACTATGTTCAAACGGTGAGTTACAAGGCAGGATCAAACAGAGCGGACGCTGAACAGGAGGTGGCGTAATAATGCACGTCCTCACCTCCAGCCGGTGAATGAGTTTCTTTTTGATGGCGTTCTGAGCGGCTGCATTGGTGGCGACCCGTAACCCTTCAGCAGCCTCTCGTAACCTCTGCTGCTGGTCTTCATTTTCTGGGTATGCAGCAGCACCCTGCACAAATACCATACAGGCACAATTACTGGATTAGTTTCATGTACTTCACCCATTTCTTTCAATTGGTTTTAATAGCAGTCTACATGACTGTATATGCGCTGTTAACATGCAACTTTAGCTTGTGTTGGGTCATTTTTCTGATGGGCAATATTCAGAATGGAAGCAATGTGCTCACTAAATCTGTCCATTACATGCTGTATACTGCCTAATATTTTTTAATGCAATATATGAGGTATATATGGAAGCCAATTACCACCTAAAAGTTTAAAAAAAAAAAAAAAATTTTTTTTTGTGATATACAAAGTCAGAATTCCGCTAAATAAAGTTGCATTATTTTTTCAGGTATATAGCCACAGTAATAAGAAATTGTGAATGTTAAAGTCACAATTATTAGATATAGTCACAATTATGGGATATAAAACCACAATTGTGAGATATAAAGTCACAACTATGAGAAATTAATAGTTAATTAATCCAATTGTGTATAAAAAGATCTAATCTAGGACTGTTCAATCATATAATAATCAAAAAGAAGACATTTAAGCAGAGGCTGTGTTATATTTTGAATATAGTCATATATATACTGTAGTCATATACAGTGGGTACGGAAAGTATTCAGACCCCCTTAAATTTTTCACTCTTTGTTATATTGCAGCCATTTGCTAAAATCATTTAAGTTAATTTTTTTCCTCATTAATGTACACACAGCACCCCATATTGACAGAAAAACACAGAATTGTTGACATTTTTGCAGATTTATTAAAAAAGAAAAACTGAAATATCACATGGTCCTAAGTATTCAGACCCTTTCCTGT